TCCCCGGCATCGAATTATGTGGAAATCCTTTAGGAGTGCGTTTTGCGCGCGCGGAACGCCCCCCCCCAAGACACGCCGCCATTCCCAGGCCTTGGGCGCCTGGCCCTGAGACGAATTGCGGGAAGCTGTCCGGAGCTCGTCGGGCCAAGGCCCTGGCCCGCGGGCGCCACCGCGCGGCGCCGAGGCCCGAAGCTGGGGGGCTCGGGGCGCCAGGCGATGGGCAGCGATCTGCGAGGAACCTTTCGGGTTGCGTTCTGCGCGAGCAGAGCGCCCGCCCCGAGGCGATCCGCTGTTCCCGAGCCCGGGGCGCCAAGCCCCCAGAGTGAGTTGTTCGAGGCCTTCGGGGGTGCGTTTGGCGCGGACGGGAAGCCCGCCGCAACGCGCCCCGCAGTTCCCCGAACCTGGCCCGTTGGCGCCGCCGCGTCCGCCGTGGCCCGACATGGGAAGGATTCGCTCGCGGGCTGTAGGATCGGGGCGCCAGGAATTGGACGCCGCATTGCGGGAACCTGCAGGACCGCGCGTTGCGCGGGCAGAGCGCCCGCCTCGAGAAATCCCGCGATTCCGAGATCCTGAGCCCGCGCGAGCGCTGCGAATCCAGGGGGTCTTGCCCGCAGGCCGTAGGCTCGGGGCGCCGGGCCCGGGCATCGAAAGTCGGGGAGCCTTCAGGCAGCGCGCTTCTTGCGCGGGCAGAACGCCCGCCCCCCACGGCGCCCTGCACAGCTCCCGAGCCCCAGGCGCCAAGCCGTAAGATGAATTGCGCAGCGCCTCCTCCTCCTCCTCATCCTCCTCCTCCTCATCCTCCTCATCCTCCTCATCCTCCCCATCTTTCCTCCTCCTCTTTATTATTATTATTATTATTATTATTATTATTATTATTATTATTATTATTATTATTATTAATATTATTATTACCATTATTAGTAGTACGCTTATTATTATTAGTAGTATTATTAATATTAGCATCATCATCATTATTCTGATTACTACTATTCTTATTATTAGTATTATTATTTGTACTAGTATTATTAGTAGTATTATCCTTATTGTTATTATTATTATGTATTTTCATTATAATTATTCGTCCTAAAATTACTTAAGTATTAGTAGTATGATTACTATTTTTCTTATTATTCTTCTTAGTTTTCTCCTTACTATTACTATGATTCTTCTTCTTCTCTCAGTATTACCATTATTATTAGTATTTGTATAATTAATAAAATGAATACTATTCGTATTCCTATTAGTATTAGCATTGTTATTAGTATTTCTATTTGTATTATTCTTATTAGTCAGATCCGTCTTCGTCTTCGTCTTCCTTTTTTTCTGCTGATTCGATTTTTTCTTATTATGATTATTAGTAGTATTATTATCAGTATTATTATTTCTTATTTCTATTCTCATTATTATTATTATTAGTAGTACTAGCAGTAGTAGTAGTAGTAGTAGTAGAAGTAGAAGTAGAAGTAGAAGTAGAAGTAGTAGTAGTAGTAGTAGTATTAGTAGTAGTAGCAGTAGTAGTAGTAGTAGTAGTAGTCGTAGTCGTAGTCGTAGTCGTAGTCGTAGTCGTAGTCGTAGTCGTAGTAGTAGTAGTAGTAGTAGTAGTAGTAGTAGTAGTAGTAGTAGTAGTAGTAGTAGTAGTAGTATTCCTCCTCCTCCTCTTTCCTCGTCATCTTCCCCCTTTTCCACCTCCTCCTTTTTCTCCTTTTCGTCCTCTCCTCCTCCTCCTCCTCCTCCTCCTCCTCCTCCTCCTCCTCCTCCTCCTCCTCCTCCCTCACCTCCACCTCTCCCTTCTCCTCCCCCTCCCCCTCCCCTTCCCCCTCCCCCTCCCTGCTGCTGCTGCTGCTCCTCCTCCTCCTCATCCTCCTCCTCTTCCTCCTCCTCCTTCTCCTCCTCCTCCTCCTCCGCCTCCTCCTCCCGCAGGCCCTCGACTCGGGGCGCCAGGCCCTCGGCGTCGAGCTACGGGGATCCTGTAGAAGTGCGGTGGGCGCGCGCAGAACGCCCGCCCCGAGGCATGCCGTTACCCTTGGCCTCTGGGCGCCGCCGCGCGGCGCCGTTGCCCAGAACTGGAGGGGGGCCCGCCCGCGGGCAGCAGGCTCGGGGCCCCTGGCACCCGGCATCGAAGTGCTGGACACCTTCGGGGGTCCGCTTCTCACGCGCAGGCTGCCGCCCCCAGACCGAGCACGCCGGGGATTGAGCGAGTGGGCTCCCGAGGGGACCTACGATCCGTGCGGTCGGGCGCGCAGAGCCCCGCTGTGTGGTCACTGGGAAATAAAAAAGTTCCTGGGCCCTGGGCGCCAGGCGCTGAGCAGCGGATTTCGGGGCGCCTCCCAGGGGTGCGCCTGGCCCAATGTAGATACAGCGCGGGCCCATGCCAAGAAGCACCCTGCTTGCCTCCAGGGTGCCCTGGGTGTTTCGGAGTTTTCGATGGTTTTGCCATGGAGAGCGCGACGCTCCAGTAAAAGAAATCGAGGGACGCCGTTGGGTCTCAGGGATGGGTTTCTTGCGGAAGGCTTCTCGTGGACTGGCCTCCGCTGTGCGGGGTGTCTTCATGGGGTGCGGCTCGAGTGCGCGAGCGGCGCTCTTGACGGCGTCCCGCATTCAAAGTGCCCCCGCGCAGCACCGTGGCAGCGCCGGGCCGCCACTGCACGGGGGCAGATCCCCACCCCCCGACGCGGGGGTCAGGGGCGGCTACACCGACCCCATGGCAGACCATCCCCTTCCGCGACGTCCTCCTCGCCTCGCCCCAACACGTATGTTTGCGACCTGAGGGAGCTCGAAAAGCGAGGATGACGTCACGGAGGGGGACGGTTTGCTAGGGGTCGGTAAGGCCGCGCTCGAGGGGAGCATTCCGGCGACGAGCTCAGATTGCATTTCACGCCGATGACCGAGTTGGCGGTGCCGGTCGAGGCCGCGGTTTCGCCAGGTATGACCGCCTCTGCTCCCATCGCGGAACTCCCATCTGGTTGCGTTCGTACGCTATGCAGGTCAACCGCTTGTATCTGAATCGCTTCCATGCGTCCGTGATGCATTTTCCGACGTCGTCCCCATGTCTGCGTACTGCTCCAAAGCCATGGCGCCTGGCCCACAGCTGGCCTCTGCGAGGCACGCCACGTCTCAAAGTCCAAGGCGCCCCGCCCCGCCCGCAGCCGACGCCCGCGCGGCCCACGGAGGCCCCCGGACCACCAGGAGAGACGACTTCTTGATGAGGGTCGCATCTTTTCGAACGCCAAAGCGCGCAGCCCGCAGCTGGCCCACGGAGCTGGCAGAGCCTTCCAGCCCATCCGCCACCCACGCGAGGGTCGCGATTTCGCGAAGGCCCAGGCTCCCAGCCCACAGCCAGCCCGCAGAGCAAACAGAGGCTTCGGGCCCACCAGGAGGAGCGCCACCCTTTCGAGGACCAACACTTCTCGGAAGCCAAAGCGCCTGTCCCACACCACGGAGTCGGCAGAGCCTGCCAGCCCGCCGTTAGGAGGAGAGCCGTCTCCGTGAGGGCCGCGACTTTCGAGGGCCCAGGCGCCCGGCCTACAGCTGGCCCACAGGCCTGGCAATGTTCCAGCCCGCGGTACAATTTTCCAGCCCGCTGGGAGGGGCGCCATCGCCATCTTCGTGAGGGCTGCCATATTTTGATGGCCGAGGCGCCAACTAGGCCCATAGAGCCAGCAGGGCCAAGCAGCCCAGTGGGAGGAGCGCCAGCGTCGTGAAGGTCGCTGCGTGGGTAGTTTTCGAAGGCCCAGGCGCCCAGCCCACAGTTGGCCCACTGAGCTGGCAGAGGCCTCCGGCACCAGGAGTCGCGCCAATCCTGTCAGGCTCACCGTTCGCTCGATGACCAAAGTTTCCAGCACAGAGCTGGCCCACAGAGCCAGCAGATGTTTCCGATCACGCAGTTAGTATTTCCAGGTGAGAGAAACCTCTTTCTAGGTTGAAACACAGTTGGGGAGCAATGCAGTAAACATCCAGCGGCCCTACAACAGGGGGCGGTTATCCCTTCCCGCCTCCCCTTCAATTGGATGTCAGACCCCACACGCGTTTGTACCCCCTTGGCAAATCGAGGTCGGTAGATTTGGTGCATATATGCCAAACGTCGCTTTCATGGTTTAGCCGCAAGCGTTTGCAGACGCATCAGGGGTGGTTGCGTCTATAGACACATTTGGGTTGGATGCGTCTGTAGATCGGGGGCGACCAAAAGGGGGGTGATGAGTAGGGGGTGGATCTCATTGCGTGGGCTATGCTGTTTCCTCAGGTTTCATGGCGCCGCGTTTTCGTTCATTACGTCCCAGGACCCCCCCCTGGGCCGCGCACGTGCCGCCGGCCATGATTTGTGCCCCCCCCTTGGACGCCCCCCTCTTGCCCTTTCCCGAGTAAACAACGCGGCCGATGCGTTCGACCTAGCACAACGTTGGAAGACGGGTAGATCCGTCTACGGTATGTTCCTGTGTTGAAGCAGGTCCCACATGGTATTCCAAGTTGTTTCTCTGCATGGGGTGTTGCCAGGACGCGAAAGAGACCGCGGTCCGCGTTCCGCGCTGCGCGAAGCGCGAGATTGATTGAGTTGCCCCCAGAACCATGCCCTCAAAGGGAAGAACCCATCAGGCCAGCGCGTTGCATTTGTTTCACACTGGGTTTGTCCACCCGCTTGCTGGCCCTGGAGCCATGACAAATCGATCCGAATGGGAAAAATTATGCAGAAAGATTGGGTCTAGGGCCCCAGTCGCGATCTCTCGCGATGAAGCATTTTTGTCGCAGAATCGGATCTCATGGACGACCCCCGGACCTGCCGTGGAGCGCGTGCTGACCAGGAGTTCGGGGCGGATGCGGCCGTGGTGGCAGAAGCCGGACAGGACCTCCAAAAAATGAAAAGAAAACGTCAGGATCATCAGGCCTTCCTCATTCGCGTGGTTCCCCTGCTCGGATCTTCTGAGACGAAGCAAGGGCGAGGATAAATCTGGGTGGGGATATATCGAGAATCTCTGAGATCCCGCGGCTCTGGAGGAGTAACGGGC